ACAGATATTTCACCTCTCATTATGATATGAACATGTTTTGTAAGAACAAAAAGAATATTTCATTTATCATTATGATATGAACATATTTAGTCAGAACAATAAAAATATTTCACTTATCATTATGATATGAACATGTTTTGTCAAAGGAATACAGATATTTCACCTCTCATTATGATATGAACATGTTTTGTAAGAACAAAAAGAATATTTCATTTATCATTATGATATGAACATATTTAGTCAGAACAATAAAAATATTTCACTTATCATTATGATATGAACATGTTTTGTCAAAGGAATACAGATATTTCACCTCTCATTATGATATGAACATGTTTTGTAAGAACAAAAAGAATATTTCATTTATCATTATGATATGAACATATTTAGTCAGAACAATAAAAATATTTCACTTATCATTATGATATGAACATGTTTTGTCAAAGGAATACAGATATTTCACCTCTCATTATGATATGAACATGTTTTGTAAGAACAAAAAGAATATTTCATTTATCATTATGATATGAACATATTTAGTCAGAACAATAAAAATATTTCACTTATCATTATGATATGAACATGTCTTTAGAATATTTCACTTATCATTGTGATATGAACATGTTTTGTCAGAACAAAAAGAATATTTCACTTCTAAATGTAGCATCAATTCGTTGAGTGTTTTAATGATGAAAGAATACTTCATTCCCTTGGGTGGTATCAATATGTTTAGTGAGAACACTTCATTCCCCAGGGTGGTATCAATATGTTTAGTGAGAATACTTCATTCCCCAGGGTGGTATCAATATGTTTAGTGAGAATACTTCATTCCCCAGGGTGGTATCAATATGTTTAGTGAGAATACTTCATTCCCCAGGGTGGTATCAATATGTTTAGTGAGAATACTTCATTCCCCAGGGTGGTATCAATATGTTTAGTGAGAATACTTCATTCCCCAGGGTGGTATCAATATGTTTAGTGAGAATACTTCATTCCCCAGGGTGGTATCAATATGTTTAGTGAGAATACTTCATTCCCCAGGGTGGTATCAATATGTTTAGTGAGAATACTTCATTCCCCAGGGTGGTATCAATATGTTTAGTGAGAATACTTCATTCCCCAGGGTGGTATCAATATGTTTAGTGAGAATACTTCATTCCCCAGGGTGGTATCAATATGTTTAGTGAGAATACTTCATTCCCCAGGGTGGTATCAATATGTTTAGTGAGAATACTTCATTCCCCAGGGTGGTATCAATATGTTTAGTGAGAATACTTCATTCCCCAGGGTGGTATCAATATGTTTAGTGAGAATACTTCATTCCCCAGGGTGGTATCAATATGTTTAGTGAGAATACTTCATTCCCCAGGGTGGTATCAATATGTTTAGTGAGAATACTTCATTCCCCAGGGTGGTATCAATATGTTTAGTGAGAATACTTCATTCCCCAGGGTGGTATCAATATGTTTAGTGAGAATACTTCATTCCCCAGGGTGGTATCAATATGTTTAGTGAGAATACTTCATTCCCCAGGGTGGTATCAATATGTTTAGTGAGAATACTTCATTCCCCAGGGTGGTATCAATATGTTTAGTGAGAATACTTCATTCCCCAGGGTGGTATCAATATGTTTAGTGAGAATACTTCATTCCCCAGGGTGGTATCAATATGTTTAGTGAGAATACTTCATTCCCCAGGGTGGTATCAATATGTTTAGTGAGAATACTTCATTCCCCAGGGTGGTATCAATATGTTTAGTGAGAATACTTCATTCCCCAGGGTGGTATCAATATGTTTAGTGAGAATACTTCATTCCCCAGGGTGGTATCAATATGTTTAGTGAGAATACTTCATTCCCCAGGGTGGTATCAATATGTTTAGTGAGAATACTTCATTCCCCAGGGTGGTATCAATATGTTTAGTGAGAATACTTCATTCCCCAGGGTGGTATCAATATGTTTAGTGAGAATACTTCATTCCCCAGGGTGGTATCAATATGTTTAGTGAGAATACTTCATTCCCCAGGGTGGTATCAATATGTTTAGTGAGAATACTTCATTCCCCAGGGTGGTATCAATATGTTTAGTGAGAATACTTCATTCCCCAGGGTGGTATCAATATGTTTAGTGAGAATACTTCATTCCCCAGGGTGGTATCAATATGTTTAGTGAGAATACTTCATTCCCCAGGGTGGTATCAATATGTTTAGTGAGAATACTTCATTCCCCAGGGTGGTATCAATATGTTTAGTGAGAATACTTCATTCCCCAGGGTGGTATCAATATGTTTAGTGAGAATACTTCATTCCCCAGGGTGGTATCAATATGTTTAGTGAGAATACTTCATTCCCCAGGGTGGTATCAATATGTTTAGTGAGAATACTTCGTTCCCTAGGGTGGTATCAATATGTTTAGTGAGAATACTTCATTCCCCAGGGTGGTATCAATATGTTATTACACAAACTTCACTCTTCATTGTCTACATCTTTAATATCGTTGTTCTGTCAGTAAATGATACAACGTGTTACTCTTTGTGTAACGAACAGGAGTACAGGGTTTGAGCCAGAAAATGTTAGCATGATCACTCTTCTTACCAAGGAGATAAATACACATATTTATCATATTAACAATAGGACATGTTTTACTTTCTCAGAACTAGGTATCAAAGACATAATAACTGAAACAGAAATTTAAAAAAAAAATAAATATTTTTAGTGTTAATATGTCCACTAGTGGCATCCGTATGTAGCTGGCCTCAAATTATTTTTAAACTAGAATGATTCGAACTACCGGTACGTTTATCTGGCAGCGAATTTGGAAAACAAGTATATTCAAACAAGAGGCCCATGGGCCTGAACGGTCACCTGATATATTTATACAGAGTTGATTTTGTTTTTAACATGAACAGAAATATTATTCAAAGTGACAAAAAACAATAAAACCACCTTACTCAATATTAGCATACAGATTTCAGACTAAAAAGGATTTGAAACTAGCACCTCTGATTCTTACCAAGGAAAATGAAGAAATTTTAGCACACTGACTCCTTTGAGCCCCACCCTACAGCCCTTGGGGGTAGGGCTGGCTCAAAATTTTCAAAGTATCAAACTGTCAATTCAAGGTTATAATTCCAATCAAGTTATTAACATGTAATATTCAAAGTATCATTTGCCATTATAAACCATAATAAATTTTGCCCCCCCCCCTCCTTCCCCAGGGGGTAAACGTGAGACCCTAGGGTCATAAACCTTAAGACCCTTCCATCTATGAAGAGTATTTGATTCTACCATATCTGGGTCTTGAGAAGAAGATTTTTGAAATTTCAGTAAATTCGACCCTTTTTGGCCCCACCCATCAGCCCCTGGGGGTCAGTCAGGGCTGATATGTGCTTATTATCAAACTGCTACCTAATACTGATAATGCTAACCCAAATTGAATTACTTCCAATGGAAATTAAACAAATGTTGGTCCAAAATGTGATTTCCCTATATAAACTATAGTAAAGTTTACCCCCTCCCCAGGGGGAAACGTGAGACCCCAGGGTCAAGAAATTCACAATTTCGGTAAAGCACCTTAAGACCCTTCCATCTATGAAGAGTATTTGATTCTACCATATCTGGGTCTTGAGAAGAAGATTTTTGAAATTTCAGTCAATTCAACCCTTTTTGGCCCCACCCATCAGCCCCTGGGGGTCAGTCAGGGCTCATAGGTGCATACTATCAAACTGCTACCTAATACTGATAATGCTAACCCAAATTGAATTACTTCCAATGGAAATTAAACAAATGTTGGTCCAAAATGTGATTTCCCTATATAAACTATAGTAAAGTTTACCCCCTCCCCAGGGGGAAACGTGAGACCCCAGGGTCAAGAAATTCACAATTTCGGTAAAGCACCTTAAGACCCTTCCATCTATGAAGAGTATTTGATTCTACCATATCTGGGTCTTGAGAAGAAGATTTTTGAAATTTCAGTCAATTCAACCCTTTTTGGCCCCACCCATCAGCCCCTGGGGGTCAGTCAGGGCTCATAGGTGCATACTATCAAACTGCTACCTAATACTGATAATGCTAACCCAAATTGAATTACTTCCAATGGAAATTAAACAAATGTTGGTCCAAAATGTGATTTCCCTATATAAACTATAGTAAAGTTTACCCCCTCCCCAGGGGGAAACGTGAGACCCCAGGGTCAAGAAATTCACAATTTCGGTAAAGCACCTTAAGACCCTTCCATCTATGAAGAGTATTTGATTCTACCATATCTGGGTCTTGAGAAGAAGATTTTTGAAATTTTAGTCAATTCAACCCTTTTTGGCCCCGCCCCTCAGGCCCCTGGGGGCTTGGGACTAAACCGGCCCCTAGTTTTGTTGACCTTTGTCCATGGAAGGTTCCTGCAAAATTTCATTGCAATTGGTTCAGGGGTTTTGGAGAAGAAGATTTTTGAAATTTTAGTCAATTTGACCCTTTTTGGCCCCGCCCCTCAGGCCCATGGGGGCTTAGGACTAAAACGGCAACTATTTTTGTTGACCTTTGTCCATGGAAGGTCCCAGCAAAATTTCATTTAAATTGGTTCAGCGGTTTTGGAGAAGAAGATTTTTGAAATTTGAGTCAATTTGACCCTTTTTGGCCCCGCCCCTCAGGGCCCTGGGGGCTTAGGACTAAACCGGCAACTATTTTCGTTGACCTTTGTCCATGGAAGGTCCCTGCAAAATTTCATTGAAATTGGTTCAGGGGTTTTGGAGAAGAAGTCGAAAATGTAAATTGTTTACGGACTGACGACGGACGACGACGGACAAAAGGCGATCGCAATAGGTCACTTGAGACTTTGTCTCAGGTGACCTAACAAAACATCTTCATTAGCATGTGATTTATTACAAATCTTCAAATGCCAGCTGCTTTAAAATTATATGATTCTAAGTTCTACAAATGTTCGATTATACTCAAATATCATGATGTAATTGACTACTGGAGTGGTACAAATAGATGAAACGTTTGTAATATCATTAAAAATGTTAGTAATATAGGAATGACAATTTGGACTATTGTAAAAGAACAATAAATGTAAAACAATTGCTCTGTCAGTAGTTTTTAATATCTTTATAACAGGTTCCTGGTGTTATGCTGAGACAGTAAACGTAATTGTCACGGCAACCAACCACAATGTTCCTTCCACAAACAACAGGAGATGAGAACACCTCACCTGGGAGCCTAACCACACCAACCTCCTCCCCTACACATCTGTCAACCACATGGATACTTCCTGTTGTCGTGGCAACCACACACAAAGGCATCACGTGATGTGGTGACCTTGACTTAGAAGAGTGTATATTGTCATCAGTAGATTTGTCTCTGTTACCATGGCAAAACGCATGGTCTGTATGCATAAATAATGAGAAAAGTTGTTCTGGTGCTGCGACACATTGCTGTTGTACAGTGGTATCACATGAGAGATTTTCATCAACCCTAGAATACGTTTGATTCACAGATGTTTCCATAGCAGACTGTTTTAAGTCGCTGGGACTATCTTTACCCATGTGATTAAGTGTTGTGGTTCGTTGTCCACTACAACTGTCATCATCACTCGCTTTCCAATCACTGTGAGTGTCTTTCTGAGAAGTGTCGACTTCGTTGTAGCACTGTTGCTGTGCAGAGCTTTGGTGTGAGAAAGAGTCTATGTTCGGTTTTGTCATACATGTACCTTGTATGTCTGCCTTTAATGTACTGGATACACCAACCTCTACTTTAACCGCAGCTGATTTGTCTTTTGATAAAATGTCGCTTTGATCATCAAAATGTAGCTCAGACTCAGACAACTGTTCATCAATCACCAAATCAAAACAAAATGGCACAGAGTAGATAGGAGAATCCAACTTCCTCTTCCATAGTAATTTACCATCATATGACAAAACGTATATGTAGTTATCGTGTGATCCAAATATGATAATTTGATTGAATGATTTATTTATACACTTCAGATCTTTTTGATGAAGTTGTTGATGTATAACTGGTGAGGAAAACACTGGCGCTGCAGTCTCAAACGACCAAATCTGTAAAATATAACACAAAATTTAAAAACATTATTAGAACACCAACTGAAAACATTTCCCATGAGGAGGATTTTTGCTTTATGTGGAAATATTATCACTTAGTGTGAAAATCGTCTGAATCATAACCTTCAGCATTTTTCAGAACTTGAAGTTTTCTTTTGTAAATGTAGAAATATTCTCTACTCATGAGAAGTATTTTATTTAGCTACAGAATTCAATAACATATTCATTGTAAATTACATGTAAACGGATAGTTTATATTGCACTTTCCTGAACTAACAGATAACAAACTTGTCAAAACTTTCAGCTCAATAAAATGCATCTAGATATGAAAATGCCTGGTTGCAGTTTATATGTGATTTGTAAGATTACAAACTGACCAGCCTGCCATCTGTGGAGATATGATATAAGCAGCCATCCACACAGCCGATATAAATACCCTCTGATGACACAGATGGGGAGGAGAATAGCGGTTTCTCACAGTCATACATCCACATGATCTCTCCATTACTCTAAACAAGACAAATGAAACAAAGCATCAGTGAAATGATGTGGATGTGACATTTAAAAAAAATCAAGGTACAAATTATTTCTTCATTATTTAAACACAGACCTATTGTTAGAATGTTCTTTATCAAATACCACACAAGATGTCTCAGAGTAATAGAAACAATTCTAAGCAGTGCAATATGAATCACAACGTCTACTAGTACATGTCGCAAATCAATAATTTTGATGTTAAAGAATGATTATTACTGTTACAATTTCCTCTTTCGTACATCAGGATACAAGGTACTCACAGAGTCTAAAGCAGACACAGCTCCAGACAGAGTCCCCACATAGACGGCATTGAGTGAGGAACTCAAGGTGGGGGAAGAGAAAACACTACCTCCTCCCAAGTAGGTCTTAAACAGACAGCTTCTCGTCTACAAGTATAACAAATAAATTAACCCTCTTATAAGTGAGCATTGCATGTTAGCTTAAACCATCACTATGAGATTATAATGTTTTCCTAAGAAAATCAACACTTCACGTAAAATTTGTGTTTTTAATCATGAATTTAAAATTTAAGATAAAAATGTCTCAATGCAATACTGATTGCAGGACTTACAATTTTCATCGAGAGGCTTGAATGTTTGTGAAATTTTCCTTCAAACAACTAACTTACATTTAGCTCCATGACATAGAAAACTGCATGTAGACTTTCATAAATTATCTATTAGTATCGGTTTACCTTCATCAAGTTTTAACTTTAACATAACAATTACAGGTCTCAACTCTCACAAGTGAATGGTATATTATAGGTGACTTTGTTTTACACATTTACAAATGTACCTTTATATCTAAGGCATACAAGTGCTTGTCGTGTGATCCTACATAGACAATTGATGTTTGAGGATCAACAACAGGTGAACTTTTGACCTCTGCCCCAGTTTTGTACTTCCACCAAATTTCTCCAGTCAAACACTCCATCACATAAACGGCTCCATCATAACATCCTACAACAAAATGGGGCACAAGTAAGATTTGGATTGTACATTTTTTCAAAATGAAACCTGACAGGTATAATTATTTTATCATTGAAAAATAATATACTTCTTTATAACATATCTCCTTAAGACTTACCTACAATGATATAATTTCCACATGTACTGATACACGCTGATGACTCAATGCGATCACCCAGAGTTGTCTCCCATTGCACCTCTCCTGTCTCCATGGTAATGGCATAAAACTTGTATGAATGTGAACCAATGTATACAGTGTGTCCTCCTGTCCTTGAAATTGAAGATTGCAACCAGGTAAGACACAAAGTTAAACTCTTTATATAAAATGAAATCTCTTATATTGTATTCGTGATTTAAAAAAACAAACTTTGTACAATTATTTCCTTTTGACAGTTCCTAGAGATTTAACTCGCCAAAAAACAACAATGATTTATAATCAATATGTATACCTATCTCTGGCTATAACGGGAGAAGCATCCACACACTTTCCTGTGTTGACTTTCCAACAAATATCCAAGGTCATACCCCTCCGACTTGGCCCAGGTCTAGAGAAGGTGTCTGTTGCCCTCCTGTCCAGATTACAATCTTGTGTTTGGAAGACAGATGTGCTGGTCGATTCATGTTCTATCTCAACATCTTCCTTTAAATTAGCTCTCATAATACCATTGTTTCCTCTTCCAACTGACAAAATTATATGATCATTAACTGACCTATGGTCAGTTTTTGTCTTTATCATAAATGAAGCTTTAGTACCTAAATTTTTCAGGTTTTGATTTTCAGCTTTGTTATCATAATACTTCCTTTTCCTGTTAAATGATTTTCCTTTTGAATCAATGGGTACATCAAATGGCTTCTTTCTTTCATTAAAATCTTCGATCACAATGTCAACATCATTTACATTTAAATTTTCTGTTCCAATCTTTTTCATTACTGATTCAGTGTCAAATTTTCCTGTGACAATGCTTTTTAGGTACACATTTTCCGTTTGACTGTTTTTCTGTGGTATCTTCTGCGACTGACCACAGACGCACTCCTCTATATAGCAGAGGATATTGGCATATGTATCATGTAAGATGATATCTAAAAGTTTTGGAAGTCTTTTGTTGAAAGTTGCCTCCACTTTCTCTGAAAACTGAACAGCTAACAAACTGTCCCCTCCACTGGTAATGAACTTGGAGTCCACGGTCGGTCGGTGATGTCTCGTCAGAAGGATTCCCTGCAAAGGATTCCACACATGAAACATTCTCCATTTACACTTTTCTTCCCCATTTATGAACTTTCTCTAACATATAGAGTGTACCGCCACATTAAAATAACTAGGACAAAAAGTACCTTAAGTACCTTGTCATCTTTATGATAAACTACACTAAAATCACTATTAAAACTCGTACCTTGGACTTGATTCCAAATTTGTGATATGTTGAACCACATTAAAAATGCTATGACAACTCGTAACAAGGAATTGATGCCTTATTTGTGTTATGCTAAAAGGTAGCCTAGAATACATTCATAGATAAAAGTCAAGTAATTCCAATCTATAAGATAATGCTAACATGAAAGATAAGGGAGATAACTTCAACATAAAATACAGGTGCTATTGAAAGGTAGCATACACCTTTAAAGTCAGATATTGCATACATTTGAGAGTTATAGCCTAATATTGCCGCCAGTGTAGCTGAGATTTCTGCATTAAAATGAGGTATAGAAATAAATTTGGGAAGGCAACAATACACTGCATAAAATCATATTGCAAGTAATAAATGAACATGTAAGAAATAAGAATTGTGTAAAGACCTTATATACACATAGTTAATATATATAACTCACACTCCAGATTGTCTCCACAACCACAGCTACACTCCCAGCTGTGACAGTACCTGTCCTAATCCTAGGCGCATCAACTGTCTGTAGTAATGCTGTCTTGTCCAGCTTTCCTGCAAAAAATGTCATAATACAAATATACACATAAAGCAATATTAGGTCTAAGTAACAACCCAGGTTCTAACTTCCTATCACCACAGAGAGAGCAACAGACACCACTTGTAACAGAAAAAACAGTAATGCGTTTTCCCAAGGGATCTCGCCAATATTTCCTTTAGCGACAAGGCAACTGTAATCCTATGTACAGGTAAAACCTGCCATATCTAAAATAAAATCAATATCAAAAATACTTACAGGAGATGTTTAGTTTAGTTTATCTAAATGGCAATGTCAGTGTCAATATTTACCAAAATTCCGGGTAGGAGTCAATCATTATGACGTTACTGAGGATACACCAAGAAATTCTACACTCATGTATCATGTTATTGGTTTTTGCTGACTCATACCAAATACCTAGTGCAAACAACAATTTTTAAATGAAATGTCCCACCTTCTGTTTCCCGATAAGAGACATGAACAGATTTAAGTTTGTTTAAAAATTCTTACCATGTCTGGTAACAGGAAATTTGGTAACCATGACAACACTGTCTGGCCAGTATTGAGAGGGAAGACTTTCTTTTATCCAAAGATGTAATTTTGGAGAATCTATTGTTTTGGTGACTTGTAATACAACAAAAACCATGAGCTTGCTCTGATGAAATATAGCTCTGCAGTCAGCTACAGCATCCAACTTCAGTAGAATCTGTTCCGTAAAAAACAGCAGAGTTGTATTCAAAACTCATGTTAATAAGGGTTAAGTGATTAAAAATTACACTACAAACTTAGGTGTAATTACAGCAAAACATAAAATGATACGAAAAAATCATATATATATAAATATGTATTAAACATAGAAAGATGCCAATAATACAATTTCTGTGTGGAGAAATAATAACGTAAACAATTTGAATACATAATTTTTTCTTAACCTTTTCAATTTCACAAAGGTTTATCCTTCGACCATTCCGTTTGACCTGGTCATCCAGACGGTGGAGAAATGTTATCTCGCCTTTGCTGTTGATGGAAACTAAGTCACCGGTTGGCCGTAGTACTGGAGGTCCTTTGTCAGTCTCTTCTCCAGTCAGGTAACACTGCCTTCCCTTTATACCTGTAGATACATTTATTTTATAAATGGATATGGTACATGTACCAGAAGCAATATCAAATATAATTCAGAAGAATAAAGCATTGCATCATAACTCTGCAGGCTGTTTTCATTACCATGTTGGGAAAAGTGAGAGCAGTCTATTGATGTTCATCCTAAAAAAGTTCAAGAAAATGTAATAGACCTAATCGTCTGATATTGTTTCCTGAAGAGCCTCCACAAAAAAATTCTCACAATTTACTACCTGGTAACTGTTTGAGATATGCAAGGATTCACATTTACAATAAAAATGTCTTTAAATTTTTGAATTCACAATGGTTTATTTTTATTTTTCTGTCAATAAAAACATCAAAAATATTGCAACTAGTGCCGAAAATTGTATTTTTACTGCTGTAATATTTAACAAGAGGCCCATGGGCCTTAATGGTCACCTGATATATTTATACAGAGAGTTGATTTTGTTTTTAACATGAACAAAAATATTATTCAAAGTGACAAAAAACAATAAAACCACCTTATTCAATATCTAGCTTACAGATTTAAGACTAAAAAGTATTTGAAACTAGCACCTCTGATTCTAAACAAGGAAAATGAAAAAAGTTAAGCACACTGACTCTTTTGGGCCCCACCCTACAGCCCTTGGGGGTAGGGCTGGCTCAAAATTTTCAAAGTATCAAACTGTCAACTCAGGGTTATAATTCCAATCAAGTTATTAACATGTAATATTCAAAGTATCATTTGCCATTATAAACCATAATAAATTTTGCCCC